GATAATTTTGTTTTCCTATTTAACAGAGCGTAATTTTCTAGTAAAAAATCTAAAGATGCACTAAAGGCCAGAATAGTTTTTGTAGCTAAAACTTTTTCTAAAGGAAACTATGATAAAAGGGTATGATAAATTGATTCTTGAATTGATCATTAAATAAGATACCAGTTATGCAAAAGGACCATAAAAGTACAAAATAACAGAACGCAGTATGAGAGAAACAATTATGCTTTCAAGATATAATAGGCCCAATTCCCCTTTTCACTAATTTTGAATGTACAGTGACACCATCCAGGCACTCTGTTCTCAAAGAGAAATTGAGATTAAATGTAAATATGTGATCAATAGGATTTACAAAGAGAAAATTGGGGTTAAATGTAAATATGTGATCAATAGGGTTTTGATAAAGGTTGGTTAAGGGTTGGAGAGAGTAGAGTATAGCTAAAATATGAATTCTATAAAGAGCCTATTAGGTTTCTAGCACAGAATCCTATCAACCATCATCCAAGACAGGGAATGATAGAATGTTCAGGTTAGAGATAAAAATTCAGCTTATTAAAGTTCTGGTTATCTTCAGGTTACCAAATCAAAGATATACTAATGCCAACTGGAGATACTAAACCTTAGGAGAATTCAAGCAGATTAAGACCTCTTTGGCATAGAGATTAAACGTGCTAGCTGTCCTCAGGAGGCAGATTTTTCTTTCTTTTTTTTTTTTTAAATATATTTTATTGATTTTTTACAGACAGGAATGGAGAGAGATAGAGAGTTAGAAACATCGATGAGAGAGAAACATCGATCAGCTGCCTCCTGCACACCCCCCAACAGGGGATATGCCTACAACCAAGGTGCATGCCCTAGACCTGAATGGAACCTGGGACCTTTCAGTCCACAGGCTGATGCTCTATCCACTTAGCCAAACCGGTTTCGGCAGGAGGCAGATTTTTCTAATGGCTAGCATAGTTCCTAGAGCATAGTTGATTTTCAATAAATGATTGATGGATGGCTGGATAAACATTGAATGTAAAATTCTGGCATGGATTTATCTTGGTTTTTTAAAGCTGCAGTAAAGTTGTTAAAAAGGGAGGGGCAACAATAATAACTCACCAGATAAGAAAGTCATTATACTTCACATTGAGGAGGTTAGTAAAAGTACCTAGAAGGTAATCTGATGGAGTGAATGTCCTGGATGGAGAAAGAGTGGAAGATAGTGGAAATTGCCTTCGGAAAGAAGGACACTAGGCACTTCAAAATAGAAGAACATTTCCAAAAGTCGAATTTCCAAAAGTGTGAAAAAGGGATCTAAATAGATTCTGCATTCTCTCTGGCCCTCCTGTTACTCCCACTGTAGTAGATCTTCCCCATTCTCAAAAGACTTCTCTTTCTAAATATGGTTATCTAAGATAACCCACCAGCTTATATTTGGTAGCTTTATCTCTATAGTCTAAATCCAAATAGATTACTTGGACTTTATAGCCCCATCTCTGTCCAGTAGACAGAATATAAGAACATGAAATATGAATAATATGCCTACATGTGTTAAACTGATAGAATTATTTTTTAGCTAGTATATTAGATGAGTTACATATTGTTTTAAACTTTCCAAACATTTAAGATGTTGATCACACTCAAACATTATTATAAATGACCCAAGTCACACATATTTAGACATTTTCATAGAAATAAATCTAAAGATTTAAAGAATGGAATGAGAAATAGACAAAATGTTCAGCAGAATTAATTTTAAAAAACAAAGGATAAATATTTCCAGCTTTTTTGGCTTTTTGAAAGAACTAATACAATTTGCAAACTATTGACATAAAAAATAAATGAAAATAACAAAAATTAGAATGGCAGACTGTCAATCTTACTCAGCAACTTTGTAAATTATGAATATTAATTTATTAATATATACTAATAATATGAAAAGCTAATAACATGTAGACAATGCTTTAGAAAATGTCAGATTGAAAATTAACTCAATAAGTATCGGGTCTAGTAATAATTAATGTCGTTTTTAAACATTCGTTTAAAATCTTGCTTGGCGTTGACTTGTATTGACATAACCTTCAAACACGTGGTATCTACAGAACGTGTGAAGTGCAATTAACAAGTTTTGCTTGAAAAAGTTTGTGTTTGCTTTAGTTTTTGTTGCAAAACTAGGGCTAAGAAGATGGCGGATGAAGAGCATATTCGGCACTGCATGCTTTACGAGTTCCAATTAGGAAGAAAAGCAAGTGAGGCTGCAAAAAACATCTGTAGTGCTCTTGGTCAAGATGCAGTTAGCGCCAGAAAATGCCAGCGTTGGTTTGAGAAATTTCGCGAGGGAAATTTTTCGTTAGATGACAAGAGTGGTCAAGGCCGTGTGTCCAATTTTGATCAAGAAGCTCTTCAAGCTCTTTTGGTGCAAAATCCTCAAATTACCCAACAAGAGCTTGCGACAACTTTAAATTGTTCACAAAAAACAATTTCCAATCAATTGCATGCACTTGGCAAAGTCCAAAATTTTGGAAAATGGGTTTCTCATGAGTTGACCGACAACAACCGTAATCAAAGAGTCACAATTCGCAGTTCGCTCCTCTCTCGTCAAAACCGTTTGCCGTTTTTAGAGCAAATTGTTACCGGAGATGAAAAATGAGTGCTGTATGTTAATTTGAAAAGGTGGCCTCAATGGTTGGACAAAAATGAGGCTCCGCAGCCCACGCCAAAACCTGATTTGCATGCGAAAAAAGTGATGTTGTGTGTTTGGTGGAATTTTAAAGGAATTCTTCATTATGAACTTTTACCATCTAACCAAACCATTACAAGTGCAGTGTATAGTGCCCAATTGGAAAGGTTAGCCCAAACTTTAAGAGAAAAAGAACCCGCGCTGATTAATCGGAAGGGCGTAATTCTTCACCACTATAATGCACGACTGCATACTGCAAGAATCACTGCTGAAAAACTGCGCCAGTTGGAATGGGAAGTTCTCCCTCAACCTGCATATTCTCCTGATATTGCCCCTTCCGATTACCATTTGTTTCGTTCTTTGCAAAACTTTCTTCTTGGAAAAAAATTTAATAATGAAGAATGCCTCAAAAATGCATTGACCGAATTTTTTGCATCAAAATCACAAGAATTTTACAACAGAGGGATTAAAATGCTTCCTGAGCATTGGGCACAAGTAGTAGAAAACAACGGCAACTATATTGTTGATTAAATTTTGTTGTATTGTTTAAATAAATTCGATTTTAAAAAAGTATTAGAAAACGACATTAATTATTACTAGACCTAATAAAATTAAAACATAATTTAAAGAAAATTGGATGAAATTTTTTTTTTTAATATTGCAAATACCACCTCCATCTCTGGCCTTCCTATTTTATTAGTGAGTTTTTCAAGATTATAAATCATATTGATATATGTAATTCTATATAACATAATTATATTATTATAATATATTATATATGTGATAAAATACAATATATAAATAATAGGTTATATAAAAAGATTATCTATAATAATAAAAGCATAATATGCTAATTAGACCAGATGTTCTTCTGAATGTCCTCTGGACAAAGCAAGGAAGGCCTACTCTTGCATTAATTTTGTGCATCAGGCCTCTAGTGTGTGCGTGTGTGTGTGTGTGTGTGTGTGTGTGTGTGTGTGTGGTGATATATATATATATATCACCATAGAGGATATTGTAAAAGTTCCAATAGGATGTAACCTCCTTAATAATATTAAAACAATGGGAAGCAATGAAATAATACTGTAGATCATCCTAACTTTGGAGCATTTCTCCAAATTCCCAAATAAATAAAAAAAATATTGAATTGTATATAGTATTGAATAAAAGAATAAGCTTGCAGCTATTCAAGTATCTATACTAGTAAAAGCGTAATATGCTAGTTAGACCAACAGCCAAATGTCCTTCCAGATGAAACAGGGGCTGTGAGGGCCAAGGCAAAATTTTGTGTATTGGGCCTCCAGTAACATAATATTAGCAAGTCAACTGCTCAGAGAAGTGGTGGGCAAAGATTCAAACTCAGGCTAGAGGGTCATTTTGGGGCAAATGGGGTGAACCTAAACCTTGCATCATCATCACTCTCATCTTTTGAATTCATACAGTAGGCAGTGTGTTCATATACTGAAAACATTTGCCAATTTATGCAAAGGGTTAACTGGTTATGTTGGTGATGAGAATATGGTTATTATGTTTTTAGATGTATCTAATCTGTCCATTGTGAACATCCTATCATGTGAAATGAGCAGATATTACAAATATTACACAAACAATTTCAAAGCACCTTATTTGGGTCAGGAGGACAGATAAACTATCTGATTTTAGACATCTTCCTCACACCCAACACTGTTTAAGGACTGAGAGCCCAGCTGATTGTCACCATAATTGTCACAAACCTCAGCAGCAAGTTTCAAGGGGGACAGTTCTCACTTACTTCAAATGGTTCTACAGGATGTATAATGATTCATATTTCCTATCTCAAAACTTGGAAAATAAACTCTTAATGCAGATTATCCCAAAATGCAGATTATGTCATAATCTATGAGGTACAGAGTATAATGTTATTTTAAAGAATAGATAATTATGTGTATACTGAAGCTCATAAATAATATTTTTTATAATTTTACTATGAAGAAATAAATAACACACTTATCTAGAAAGATAATTTAAATGTGTATTTCTATATACAATCCTACCTACATATGATTTACAAAATATGTTTGCTAGTAGCAGGGAAATTAAATTCCGGCACTTTACTGCATTTTGAATTTTAGAGAAAACTGATAAGTAGTCCACAAATTTACATGCCATATATTTACATTCCAACAAGATAATTTAAAAATAAAAGGAAATTCTAGAGATATTTATTTTTATTAAAAAAATAAACAGTTAAAATATGAGTGAAGAACAGTAATTCATGATTCTCATTTCAGAACTCAGGAACTCATATTAATTAGTGATGAACAAATATGGCAATATAATAAGAAGTTCTACTTACCATTTGGATAAAATTCTTGGAATTCCATTTGGACGATTATCCCAGTAAAATTCTTGAATATCTGAAAAATTAGAATGATTGAGGAAGATCAACAAGACATACTTTATACAGCATTTTATAATATGTTAACTGCATATGATGTTTGACTCATACCTGTCTCAGATTTGTATAAGAATGCATTCAGACTCATGATTTTAATTTAATATGAATACTATCTAAACTCAGGAATTAGGTGTGTCCTTTTATTTATTCACACACCACCTTTAGCGCTAGATGCCCCAGGCTGCCTGTTCTCAACTCAACCCTGACATACAGGAACCACACTGCAAATAAGAGAAATAATTTTTCTGATCTCTGACTTCATACATCCCTTAAACAAAGTCAAGAAACTGAACCACTATGTTCTTATTTTTCAGTGCAAAACTTCTGTGAGGGAAATTATATTATAGTGTTTCACTGTGATAAGAGGAAATCTGTATCCTAAATATTTAAGTACATAAACTAGGTGAACTAATTTAGAATTTTAGTAATTATGTCACCTCTGCAAATGTATTTAAGATAGGGATTACAAGGTTATTCTGATGTAATACTCTAATTGCCAATTATTTTATAAAATCAGAAGAACTCTCATCTATCCCAAAATTTGTTTTTAAAAGGTGAGGAAAATGAGAATGTAGGAGAAATGGCTTGGTAGAGATCTTAGCTTAGAGAGAGCAAGATCTAGCTTAGAGAGAGTTCTATGACCAGATGCTAAATCCCAAGATTTTAGCTTATCTCATTCCACCTTATTATTTTAAAACCCATTTATTAAGGGTCTGATATATACCAGGTACTGAACTGGGCACTGAATAATGAACATGATAATGGACAAGACAGATAAGAGGCCTTCCTTCTGAAATAAGAAATTAAGAATATATTTACAACTCAGGTAAAAACTGCTGTTTGAATTTAAACCTTCTAAGGCAATTTTCCTGTGCCTGGGATCATAACCTTTAGAGATTAACCAGTGAGTTCTGCTTCTGCAAGATAGGGCCACATTCCAATGTCCAGAAGGATGTGACTGGGAACGACCCTGGGGCTGACCCCAGTTTTTAGAATATAGTCTTTAGGATTTAGAATTTAGAACAAAGGAAAATTCCTATGGTTTGAACTGTTGCAGAGTTCCCAAGTGGTCGGACGATGCAGGGAGAGAATTTGGAGAGACTTGCTTTGTTCATCGCAGGATGGGCTTAAGGAGGATGAATTCAAGTTCTAAGCAAGGTTACAGGCAGAACTTCCTTTTTTTTTATTAAAGAGCCAGCCCTATGTTCACTTAGAGGTTATCTCGATGCTGGCCTTGAAAACAATACAGTTCTATCCAATTAAAAGAAAAAAAAATGCACCTGACACATTATTGAGATTGTAGGCATATCTGGTCTCTGTCCTACAAGGTCAGACAGCTAAGTTTATCTTCATCATTCTTCAAATGGGCTAACCAAACTAGAAAGCAACATTTTATCTAGGAACAGAAAATTCCAAACAATAGTTTGTTGCAGAATGGGGGTTTTCCTTCTCAGAACCTTTAAAAATAACTACCTGCCCCTAAAGTGACATAGTCATGTGGAGACCACCTGTGTGAAGTGCTCTCACGTCTATCCTGGCCAGATATTTCAATAAATTCTTGTCTGCTTTTTTTTAATCAATCATCAGCCTCCAGGGGTCTTATTCTGAATCCAGGGTTTGACCCCACAACACTTCAAGAAGCTTAATTCTGGTTATCACCATTCATTAAAGTATTGAATATAGTACATTTCCATCCCTATAAATGATAATGAATGCAAGTATAACCTAGATACAAGATTTTGATATGCATTTCTACTAAGACCATGTCTGGTACCCAATGGATATACTTCTTTAATCTTGGAAATATATTTGGCCTGCAACATACTTAGCTAAACATCTGAGTATTTTGACATGTAGATACATATGTTGTGCATTGATAAATCTATAAAAAATTGAAAAGAACACATTTTTCCATTGAGTGCTTTAAAAAGAATCTTTTATTTGCTTACTGAACTAATTGTGTCAACTTCCAGACTCAGTGTGAAGCTTAAAAGTATGCTGGAGAGATGAAAAGTTCTACATGTGCAAATGAGTAAGGAGATTTCACATGGAAGCGTGAAATAATGACCATGAGATCCATTCTGCACATCATTTCTTAACTATTGTTTTATGTTTAGCTCTGTGTTAAGTATTCTGCTTATAGTAGATAATTTCAAAATAGAATTATATAGTTACATGTATGGTAAAATACTGCTATTATATAAATTTTGTTTGGGAGCTTTGAATTTTTCAAAATATCAAATATGAAAGTTCTCTACTTGTTATTTTTATTTAAAATTATCACTCTGATTTATATCCTTGAAACACAGAGTGCATACATGAATGTTATCTGTCATCTGCTTAGAAAAAAAAAGTAATATATGTTTTTTTCTTTAATTATCTTACTTATTACTGAGAATTGGTTGGGGGGGGGGGGGTTGTGTGTAAAGAAAATACCAGTAATATAAAAACATTTTACTCCCATTTCATCCACATAAGGCATTAACTAGGAGTCAAATGTTCACAACAGAAATAAGCCATATTGATACTAGTTATATTTGCCATAAATCTATCAGTTATTATATGGTTCAAATAATCTCATTGCTTTCTTTTAACAATGGCTTTGCTATTAGAAATTTAAAGGAAGGAAAAGGGACAACCAAAAGAGAAAGGGAGAGGGAGTTTCTAATAATGATGACAGTAGTCAACATTTACCACTTGCCCACTTGGAGTTATCAAAGACTTTAAGCCATACAATGACATGACTTGATTGAACATCTTATGACATTTATTCTGGCTGTGAAGAGGAGAGTAAATGAGGAAGTGCAGGGCAGAGTGGTGCTAGATAAGTGGTCAGAAAAGTTGGAAGGCTGCTGTTGTAGTGCAGGCATACTGATATTTTCAACTAGAATGCAGGAGTGAAGATGGACAGAAGCAAATGTAGTGGAGATATTTGGACAATAAACTTAGGGAAAGAAAACCAAGGATGACTTGGGTTTTTGGCTTGAATAAGGAAATAGATTGTACCTTTTATTAGAAGTGTATGTCTACGGAGAAGCATATTTGTCCATGGTGAATAGAAAACAATGGGAGGGAAGGCTATTGTTTTGGCAAGGTTGTCTCTGTAAATTTAAAAATACTTGTTGTGTAGATCATTTAAATATACTTATTCTATAGGTCAATTATGTAAAATACCATAATTTCTGCTTTATCAACCACAGAATGTCTTTGATAATAAATATAATAGCCAGCTCTCAAAATTCTACTGCACCATGTTTGGGCGCTTCATGCATAATTTTCATGTCTTCTGCATTCTTGGTCTTTCACTCTACCAGATCCTTTTGCAGAAATCATTAATAATACTCATGTGTCTCACTGACAATCAATACTGTGAACCCCTTTATTAATGCTCCTTTCACAGCTAAGTTCCTCAAAAGAGAACATGACTTTTTCATTTGAACTCCTCCATTTATTTTTAATTCTACTATGCTATTGAGTGGGTGCTTTCACTTCTACTACATTACTGATAGTGACCTCGCTAAGGTCCCCAGTTAATCTTTAATATCAACATCTCACAGATCTTTTTGGCAAGCTATTTCACTGGCTCCTCCTCCTCTTAATTTTTTTTTCCACATCGTTGTTTTAAATTTTATTCTTTCTCCCTTCAACATTTTGCCTTGAATAACACCAAAACTCCATTTATTAACTGCTAATGACCAACAAATCAATATCTCTAACCTGTATTCTAACCTGTAGGTTCACATATGCAACTGGCTACTTGGTGTCTCCACTGGGCAGCCCTATATGCACTTCAAATAAAACATAGCTTAACACTCAGCTCCTTACCTTTATTCCAAAACCTCCCCTCCTATTCCTGTTGGTGGGTAGCATCACCATGCAACCATTAACTCAAGATGGATGTTTGGACATCTACCCATACTGTTGCATTTTTCATGTCCTCCAGTTTTCATCACTGGCCCAACATTATCAATATTACTTCCTTACAGTGTCCTGCCTCACCTCCCCACATCTCTATCAGCACTACTTCTCACCTCATTTCACGTCTCAGTATTATCTGAATGAGTCATTTCTTCTCTGCCCTGCTGCCAAAGGTCTCTATAAAAACCTTTATGTAGGTCCTCACTACCTAAAGGAAAAAATTCAAGGACTTGCTCAGGACTTCTGATGATTTTCAAGATCTAGTCCCTACTTTACTTCCTTATTGTCATTCTTCTCCCTCACCAAACCTTTTTACATGTTTTAACAGTACATGAATAATTCTGATGTGTCCATCCTGATTCTACTGGAGCTCTCACACTTAAATAAATGCTTCTTAGTGATCCTGGTATAAGAAATTTTAGTCATTTTATCCTTGTTTATACAACGTGCTCATATAGCAACTCTGATATTTTATGGAACTTATTGATTTCTTATCTCTAACTTCCACTAAACTACTCTTGTCTTAATAAACCAATGGGCATGACTGGTGTTATTCAAGAAGGAACAAAAGGAAGAATAAATGAATTACTGAATAAAGGGCTTATCACAAAGCCTTACTAGAAAACCTAAGGCTTATAAATAATTGCAAATTGCCCATGACTTTCTAATTCAATATTAAAGTAGAGTCCACAAAAAAAAATTATAAACCTATATTATAAAAACAGCCTATCATGAAAAGAACAAGGTGTCAGCATAGGACAAATCTATTAAGTCAACTATTGACAGACATAAGCCCTTTCATGGACTTTGACTATAGCTAAACTTAAGAAAACAAATTCAAGTTAAACTTTGAACTTCAGAATTTAGGGAGAAAAAGAAAGCAACTGAAATAAATTACATATTCAGTTTAAATTCAGTTGGCACTATTTCTGGATACAGCTTAAAGTTCTGTTAGCTGTCCTATTTATTCTTGCCAGAACTAACCATAGGCAAAGCATATGAAATTCTAAGATCTTCAGCAAATAGAGACTTTAAAAAACA